TAAACCTTAAACTTATTAGTGTGGTCAACTTTGACAATCGCATGCACACGCCTGACCTCAAAAACACAATGCTTCCTTTTATTTGTACGTTCAGGCGTTCTTCAGGCGTTTTGTATTGTAACCCACCTGTTCGAACATATCTTTTCACTAATCATATTCTTCACAACCCTGTGAATAAAACGATCCTATACTAAACGTGTGGGAAATCTGAGGAAAGTACCGCAGAATGGCCAAAAAATGGGTGTGCTGACGCCCTTGTCAAATTTTTTGGGCTGACTATACAATAATATTTCCTTTTCTTGTAAAATCGGATGCTTTAATATTATTCCAAACAAGTTACAAACAACAAGTTCTACTTTTTAAACTATTATCAACACAATAGAATATTGACAAACATCTTTTAAAAATGTAACATGACGTTACGTGACAGACTTACTGGCGTATATACGCCAACTAAGCTTACACATGACTATTGCACAGTTTACAATAGGGTGGGTTTTGGACTTGTACGTATCAACATGATGGTTGTATGTGTGCTTTAGACACAAGAAACACAACAAAGTGTGATTACCCCCCCCCCCCCAAAAAAAAAAAAAAAAGGCAATGTCATAAATTAGGAAGGGTATGTTCGGTCTGTGTGGACAATTTGATCCTATTAAATTGTTCTGTTTAATACGTAAGTCGAAATTACGAGTTAGTAGGTAGAAGTTCCGAGTTAATAACCTGAAATTTCGGGTAAATAAGATAACTTACTCGAAAGTTCGAGGTAGTAAGTCGAAATTTCTAGTAAGTAATTCAAAGTTTCGAGTTAATCAAAAACACACTCTTGGCACTGATGTTCTTAAATTGTCGTCCATTATGCATGTGTGTTTATGTTGCGAGTATTTTCATTGGCTGATGTAAAAACTGCTATTCGTCGCGCCTATACGCCGTTATTATCTGGATTATTATTATTCATTAGCCAATGAAATTGACAGTCAATAATAGAAGTGGAGTTGGGTTTACACATGGAACATACGGACAACATTCAAAATGGAATAGAAATTATCAGAACAAACAAAAAGTGTTACAACAATTGTACAAGAAAGTAATCAACAATTGTACAAGAAGTTAATGATGTCGTCGAATTCTTCTAGCAATAAGAATGTTATCGAAAAAAAACCCACCTAAATACAGATCTACATACTGTTCTTCATGAATGGACTTAAAAGTGGCGTATTAATCCCCTTCCGCATAGCGGATAATAGGAAAGGCCTCCATCTGTCCTTCTATCAGTCCGTCCGCCCGTCTGTTCGGGCGAACATTCCATGGTCTATGAGCTTCATTCTGTCCATAATTTTTGTTAAAAAAGAAGGAAATCCCATAAACCGAGCGGTTTATGTGGTAAATTTGGTTTATGGGGAAAAGTGCCACATAAAGATCAAGGAAAAAGCACATAAAGCCTTTCTTATGTTGGCACGTCTGTCTGTTACACTAAATACCATTTACACTTCTTTCCCAAAACTATCCTACTACCATATACATTCTATTTTGGTTTGTAACTGTCTTATTATAGTTTTGATAATTTCATACTTAAGGGAAGATTTGCTGATATTGTAAGAAAACTGGTTCAACCCTTTTGTTACTAGTGTATTATGTGTTATGATAATATACTGGTATAAATGTGCACAAATATTTGCACAGCGTTAAGTGTAATTCAAACCTTAGACTGTACTTGATATAACATTTTCGTACATATAGGGCAAATATGTTTTCGCAATGTAATGTGATTCATGTGTAACCGATGATAAATGATTGAAGACTTTTTTAGTTTTTTTATTGTTGAACATACAAAAACGAGCCTACAAACAAAGTACAAAGGAAACTACAATTAACCGATTAACAAAACAATAACATTACACATTTTCAATAGGGTTAAAAATTTAACCGCTGTATCAAGCGGAAAGCTCTATGGCCAAACTAAAACCTATCCATACTACCAAACCAAACCAATAAATTTGTTTACATCAACTTATTAAAGCTTAAGCCCGGTAAAGGTGGCACTGAAAATATCCTTGTAATAATGGACCGGTTCACGCGTTTCGCACAATTTATTCCATGCAAAAACCAAACTGCAGTAACCACATCAAAGGAACTTTATAACAGATACTTTTATTACTATGGATTCCCAAAGCAATTGCATAGTAACCAAGGTCGCAACTTTTAAGTCGCACCATTCAAAAGTATTTATGTTTTGATGCATAGGAGGACTGATTCTGTTGTATAGTGATAAGTATCCCCGGCTGCCGACCAAAGGACCTGGGTTCAATTCCCCGTCGGGGAGCCATTTGTAACCGGGGATAAATGATTGAAGACTTTTTTGTTTAGTTCATTTTTATTGTTGGACATGCAAACACGAACCTACAAAACACAAACGAAACTACAAATAATTGATTTACAAAACAATAAAATTACACATTTTATTCAATTTATTTATGGAAAAGAATATGATATTACAAATTTATTATTTTTTTACCAGGGTTAGAATACAAAAACTTTTATTAAACGATGTTTAAGTTTTACTATGAAGTAACAACTAATATTAAACAACTCTACTGTAAAGTAAGTTATTAGTTAATTGTACTATGTGGAACTGGCGAAGGGAGCAAGAAGATGTTTTGCGGGGATTTTAGTGTTATGCACGTGAAATATTAGTGAACACATTTACACAACCTTCTAACTTACAGTGACCTTTTTTACGAAACAGACTACTCATTAACACAACCACAGTTATGCAAACAAACGAAGAAACAACAGTTAGACAAATACCAACCAAATACATCTTAACAAGGAGGATACAATATACCACTGATTAAAAGAATTACACATGCATATGTAAACTCGTCTTGGTAATGAGAAAATTTACATAATTGTATTTGGATCATGAAAAATCTTTACAAAAAAGCAGCCCAATCACTTAACTAATGTATTTATATTTTTAATGTAGTAAGGCATGGTATTAACAACTAAAATAAACTTAAAAATACTTAGGGTACGCAATTTAATAAACAGTTCCAAATATGGAAGCCGGACAAGTCCATTTCAGTTATGCATTACATACTTGTATATACAAATCTCAAAATAAGAGCTTCAGATACATAAACAATTAATTGAGTTTTATTAACACTACGAAAATAGTGAGATGCCAGTGAGATCAAGTGTAATAAAAAAAAAAAAACAAGATAATTCTAATTTGCTTAATATTTTTAAAATGGGAAATAATGCTTCACCAGAGTATAACCTCTGAACTATAAATAATATCACATTGAAACTTTACAAATTTATAGACATAGGTCTGAAAAGCGCAGTGTTTAAGAAAAGTGGTTCTATATGTAATAGTTATAGTACATGAAACGAGTTAGTTACGAAGATATAAAACTGGCTGGGGCGACATCAAGGGGTGTTTCTGCTAAAAAAAATTTTTTTGCAGAAACATCCCGAGATGTCGCCCTAGCCAGTGTTATACCCCCGTAACTAACGAGTTTCATATACTATAACTGTTTTATCGCAATGGCATAATGTTTTCTTTTTTGTACTAGAAATAAATAAATAAATAAATAAATCGTTAGCTACATTACAGCTATTCATAATAAGACAGTATTTTCAAGTTGTTTTCGCTGCCGGAAAAAAAAATATAATACAAGAGACATCTAACGTTAGAGGCGAATTGTAAACTGTTACCAATATTGATTCAAGATTAATTAAAAGGCTTTTTCAATAAAAATAATTCATTCAGCGGATGTATCTTTTTGATTAAATGAGAGTAAATTTTATTTCATTAATTATCTTTATTTATATCTTTCATGGTATTTATTTATTTATTTTTTTTATTTTATTTTTTTGATTAAATGAGAGTAAATTTCATTTCATTAATTATCTTTGTTTATATTTTTCATTGTATTTATTTTATTTTATTTTATATATCAATTCTATATTATTTTATATTTTATTTTATTTTATTTTATTTATTCCATTTTTTTTTTTTTGCTACTGTGAATGGTCGTTGCCACTGCCCCATTGGAGCCTCTATGAAAAAAAACTGCATTGATATATAACAGGTGCGTAAAAAACTCGACCGATATATAACAGTCGAGTTTTTTTCCTATATAAATCAATGAAAAAAGCTGTACTGTTATATATCAAAACAGTTTTGAAATGCTCGTTGAAGTGTACTGAGTATAATGGGTTAGTAAGAACAAAGGAAAAGTTCCAAACCATGCGATAAGACTTAGTTTTTGAATGATCTCCTTTTATAATAAATAATATTGCTTTCTTGGGGAATTATTTGACCGCATTTTATCAACACATCACACAATGATAAAGATCAGAGAAGATTTTTACATTTTTGCTCATATTGCATTTGTTTATGTGCAGATGTCTTTCATATTTAGTAAGTAGGTTTGTCTAACTTAAGTTAAATTAATCAGACACTATGGTCAAGGTCACCGATTTTTATGCTTTTGCTAACCATTATGTTTACCTTTCATTTTTGGTAAGTTCATAACTTGGTTTATACTAAAACTTTAGATAGAGGAGGAAGGTAGTCTAGTACTGGTGTAACTCTCCAGGAAAGATGGTTAGGAAACTACCCGCCTATATGACTGAAATACTGTTGGAAAAAGGCGTAAAATGAAACAAACAAACAAACATTTGATAGAGGAATAGTGGTAAGTTGGTCAAGTTAACGAGACAGATAAAAATAGATTTGAACACTTCTGCTCATACAACCTTTATTTATTGACTTATGTCTTTTATATTTAGTTATGATGATATCTTGTGTTGTCACTTTACTTCGGGTTCAGTTAGGGGTCATGGATCTCAATTTCACTGTCGCTAAAATAAGATTTAGATTACAACATTTATTGACTAATGAGCATCATATACATTGACCAATGTTCAGGTTCGGGGATTTTCTTTTCCCATCTGAAATATTACTATGAATATTTTTCCTTGAATTACAGTGTTCTCAAGAGCAGATGCACTCAAAGATTTACCATTGTTTCAATCAACAGAAGAAGAAGAGTTTCCATCAACAAACAGGAATGTTCCTCGTATTCCTCACATTTTACATCAAATGTATGTGAATGAAATGATTCCTGAAAACTATATAAACCACATAAAATCATTCATCAAATACAATCCGACGTGGCAATACAGATTTTGGACAGATGAATCTGGTCGTAAGTTCCTTCAAAAATATCACCCATACTTAATAACAGCGTACGATTCCTTTGGGAAAAGTGTGAAAAAATCTGACATGCTCAGATATGCTGTTTTATACGAGTTTGGAGGATTTTACGCAGATTTTGACATGGAAAATTTCCGTTCACTTAACATCACGACAAATAAATATGCGTGTATATTCCCTTCAGAACCATTTGAGCACAGTGCTTTGTTGTACAACAAACCCTTTATGATAAATAACGCTTTTATGGGTTGTCGCCCTAAACATCCGTTTCTAGAACGACTCTTGACTGGTTTACATACAGCGTCTTCGGTTGGAGATGCTGTTGATGTAACAGGACCTAGGTACGTTACAAAAGTTTTTTGCCAGTACAATAATATTACACACATAGACGCGAATAGAAATAAAACGGACTGGAGCAGTAATTCTCCCTATTTCTATAAAGGTGATTTAAAGGAAGTCGATGCCAATGCCGTATACGTCCCCAATTCACAATATTTTATGGACAAGATGGATCCAGGCCTTATGCGTCCAAAAGGAGAAGTCAGAGAATTCTGTTCCAACATCAAGCCTGTGTCGTATGTGAAAGAAAGAGGATGCGCGGAATTAATCAGCCGTGTTCAAGTGAGGGAAAAAAGGAAATATACATTGACGGTACATCATTGGTTACATTTATGGAGTGAGAAAAAAAAGAGAGTCAAGAGATTAAAATATATCAATATAACTAGCATAGTGCCAAACATTATAAAATATCATGATTAATGTGATTGTCAGACGATATCATTTGCGTTTTTATAGTCTATTTGTAAGAGATATTTTAAATTACAAAACAGTTTTAATTCAATAATTTATAATGCTCAGTATTACTTTGATATTTGATATTGATAATCACGAACAATAACAATGTTTATTGTAGATGGAATGTGTTCTGAAACATTGCCATTAAAGAAGTATTATAGTTTATAGTTTTATGAATAAATGTTGCCATTCATCCATTACTGACATTTTTTCTATTCATTTGATTAAAATTCCTTTTATAATAATATAATAATTCATTTCAACATTGACTTTTGTGTGCTTATAAAGTTTTTTTTCAGCATAAATGGCAAAGAAAATGTCTATATTGCCGTAAAGTCTAAAGGAGCACGGGTACAAATTGATTTAAAGTGCAAATTGCTGACTTTAGTTAAGATGCTTGAATCAGGTTTCGACAATCTTGAAAATAGAAAAGCGAGTGAGATCTGCGAGTTGTTTTTTTTTAAAAAAAAGGTTAGACGTCGAAATAACCTCATCCGACTAGCAGACAAGTCGCCAGGTAGCTGGCTTACAGTATCTGTGTATGAACAAAACGATCTAGCGAGTGACGAAGAAGACATAAAGAAAACTAAAAAGGCAGAAAAGTGGCACTTATTATCTTAAAGGAAAGAGATGAAAAACGAACGTCTGAGAAAAAAGTTGTTCAGTACATGTTATTCTCCTTATTCTGCTACCAACGTACCTCTTCTTCCTACCTTTTACAAGCCGAGATCAGTGTTAGAGCAGAACGTTTTTCGCCCATACAACTACGATTTTCAAGGACGTCAGAGATTTTGTCAAGGACCAAAATCCACGTACCAATGGTTTGCTTGAAGACTGTTGGCGAATTAATTCCTCTTACAAAAAAGCGATTACAAAGTCATATTTTATACAAGTTTCCTTACGCAAATCGGGGGTTTTATCAAATGATGAAAAGTCAGTCCTGAAATGGTTAGCCTCGAATGTGGTTATTTAAGAATAACAAAGGAGAAGGTAGATAACCTCAAATAGGAAATTACAAAATTGAAGAATAAGTCCAATAGAGTTACTTCCCGTTCTCTAGCAAAGATTACTGGTATGCTGGTTGCCATGCATTTAGATTACTCGTATGCTGGATTCAATGCATTTTGTATTTGGCAATCTAACACGCTTAATGACTAGGTTTATTTATGAAATAATCGTATGTGAGAAGTTAGCAGTTAACAGTAGCAAAAAGGCATTACAATTTATATAGGGAAATCAATGATCTGTTGTTATGCTCAGCTGGCTAAGCAATCTAGCGGGGCATTCCAAAATATAGTGTAAAAATGCTCTGCTGGCTAAGCAATCTAGCAGGGCATTCCTAAATAAAGTGTAAAAATGCTTTGCTGGTATCCTCAGCTGGCTAAGCAATCTAGCAGGGCATTCCAAAATATTGTGTAAAAATGCTCTGTTGAATTGCTCAGCTGGCTAGGCAATCTAGCAGGGCATTCCTAAATATAATGTTAAAAATGCTCAGCTGGCTAGGCAATCTAGCAGGGCATTCCTCAATATAGTGTTAAAAATGCCCAGCTTGCAAGGCAATCCAGCAGAGCATTCTGAAATATAGTGTAAAAATGTTCTGCTGGAATGCTGAGCTGTCTGGGCAAACTAGCAAGGCATTCTTAAGTAAAGTATAAAATTGTTTCAGCTGGCAGAGCAATCTAGCAGGGCATTCTTAAATACCGAGTAAATATTCTTCCACTTTTACTCCTTTTGCATCCTCTTGTAATCCTTATGCCTCTGAAAATGTTATTTTTGTTGCGAGATATATTTCACTGGTGTCTGCGGCTGTGACTGACATCCTCGAAGACTTCCAGGATTTTGGTACGAAATGATTAACCCTCAGGAGTCCATTTCGTTGGTCTGCAACTGATTATTGGGCACTCGCAAACTTTCAGGAATTTTTGGTGTTAATGCAGATAATGACATTTTTTAATTCTAAGGACTATCCAGAGTCCATTTCGTTGGTCTGCGACTAATTCTGGAACACTCGCAGACTTTCAGGAATTTTGTTGTCAATGCAGATAATGACATTTCTGACTTCTACGGACCTTCCTGAGTCCATTTTCTTGGTCTGCGACTGATTCTGAGGCACTTACAGACTTTCAGGACTTTTTTATGTCAAGGCAGATAATGACATGTTTTACTTCTAGGGACTATCCAGCGTCCAATTTTTGGTCTGCGACTTATTCTTTGACACTCGCAGAAGTACTTCAAGGACTGTGTGGTGCCAAAAGAGATTATTACATTTTTGACATCTTTTGACCATCCAGAGTCCATTTCGTTGGTCTACGACTTATTATTGGGCACTTGCAGATTTTAAGGAATTTTTGGTGCTAATGCAGATAATGACATTTTAGAGTAAAATGCGCTGCTTCTGACTGAGGGGTTCTTTACATTAAAAAATGTCATGATCTGCAATGGCACCAAAAATCCTTAAAGTCTACGAGTCTTAAAGAATCAGTCGCATACCAAAGAAATGTACTCTGGCGGGTCCCTAGAAGTCAGAAATGTCATTAACTCTATTGGCATCAAAAATTCCTGAGCATTCCAGCAGGGCTTTTTTACATCATATTTTGGAATGCCCTGATAGTTTGCCTAGCCAGCTGAGCATTCTAGCAGAGCATTTTTACACTATAGTTAGTAATGCCCTGCAAGAATGCCTAGCCAGCTGAGCATTCCATGACCATATTTTGTCATGTCCCGCTTTATTGCTCTGCCAGCTGAGCATTGCAGCAGAGCATTTCTTGCACTACATTTAGGAATGCCCTGCGTAGTTTCCTAGCCAGCTAAGCACTCCAGCAGAGCAATTTTACACTATTTTTAACCATGCCCTGCTAGATTGCTAAGCCAGCTTAGCATTCCAGTAGAGAATTTTTAAACTATATTAAGGAATGTCCTGCTAAATTGCTTAGACTGGTTGGTATTACCGTAGAGCATTTTAACACAATATTTAGGAATGCACTGCTAGATTGCCTAGCCAGTTTAGCATTCCAGTAGAGCATTTTTACACTATATTAAGAAATGCCCTGCTAGAATGCCTAGCCAGCTTATCATTCCAGCAGAGCTTTTTTACTATATTAAGGAATGCACTGCTAGATTGCCTAGCCCGCTGAGTATTACAGTAGAGCATTTTTACACTATATTTACGAATGCCCGGCTAGAGTGCCTGGCCAGCTAGGCATTCCAGCAGAGCATTTTAACACTATATTTAGTAATGCACTGCTAGATTGCCTAGCTAGCTGGGCATTCCAGCAGAATATTTTTACACTATATTTAGGAATGCCCTGCTAGATTGCTTAGCCAGTTTAGCACTCCAGTAGAGCCTTTTTCAATATATTAAGGAATGCTATGCTAAATGGTTAGTCCGCTGGGCATTCCAGCAGAGCATTTTGTACACTACAATGTATATCTAGGAATGCCCTGCTAGAGTGCCTACCAGCTGGGCATTCCAGCAGAGAATTTTTACACTTTATTTAGGAATGCCCTGCTAGATTGCTTAGCCAGCTGAGCATACCAGCAATGTATTTTTACACTATATTTAGTAATGCTCTGCTAGATGCTCAAGACAGCTGAGTATAACAGCAGATCATTGACTTCCCTATATAAATTGAAATGCCTTTTTGCTTAACTCACTGTTCACTGCTTACTTCTCACATACGAAATAATCAATGAAAGTCATAGCTGGGATTGAAACTTTTTTATTTCACGTTATGTTCGGGTAATAGGGAAATAAGATGTTTTGTAAAACAATTTAGACCAATTTTGCATGTTCTTCTTTTTCTCCAAGTTACCCAGAATGCATCGTACACAAAAAATGGTCTGACCAAGAAAAAACAAAATATTCGACATGGAGGGAACTAAAATGCATTGATTGGGAAATTAAATTGTTGTCAAAATTTTTGTTTATAAGCATGTACAGTGGTTCACGGAGAGCAAAAACTGTGAAATCATTGTTCACTCAGGAAGTTCAAAGCAAAAGTTACAATCTATAGCACACTCGACATTCCGTTTTTGTATCGCATAGTTCTAACAGTATCGTGGATTCCACGTAAAGATAATGAAGTCGCCGATTTCTATTCTAGAATATTAGATGTTGACGACTGGGGTGTGTCTGATGCATTTTTTACTTTCTCAATTCACAGTGGGGTCCGTTCACAATGGATAGATTTGAAAATTATAGCAATAGAAAGACGATGCGTTTCAAGTCTAAATTCTGGAATCCAGACTGTGAGGCAGTGGATACTTTTTCTGCAGATTGGTCCGGTGAAAATTATTGGCTGGTTCCGTCCATGAATTAAGCCTGTAAAGAAATTTTACTTCTTATAAGTTGTCCCTCGTTAGGCGTGCTAGTTGTTTCTAAATGGTAATCCGCTGCTTTCTGGTCCCTAGACTTTGAAGATGAATATTTGAATCTGAAGCCTTATGTTAAAGATGTTCTGGAATTTAGCGATTCAAGTATCTTTATCCCAGGCGAAGCGAAAAAATCTTTACTTGGATCCCCTAATTTTAAAAGTGTTCACTTTATCTTAGCTATAAAGCTATATGCCACATAATCATATCCTAGTTAACATTCAATTTATCTTTTCTTGCTTAAAGTAGACGTTAAGTTAGTATTCTCTTATAAGGAAATACTCGGAAGTTAAGTTTTTGGCGGCAAAAGTGAACGAGTTTTTCGTGATAAGTAAAACGGGCAATCGAGTTTTATTTGTCAAGCCATTCAGATGTGAAATTTTGTTTTGCAAAAAAAAATTTGTTAGCTTCGAATATTGTCTAAAAATTTAGATGCTGAGAAAACAAAATCTTATTTTCAATATTATTTTAAATAATACGTTCACGGAATTTTAAAAGGACATTTGTAAAGTGCCAGAAACAACAATAGTGAACCCAGCTGCTATAAAGTCTAAAGGAGCACAGTTAAAAATTAATTTTAACTGCGAATTGTTTACCTTAGTTAAAAGGCTTTAATCGTGTTTCGACAATCTTAAAAATTGCGGAGTAAGTGAGATTTTCGAGCTTTTCAAAAATAAGCTTATCCGACTAGCAGATAAGTCGTAAGCTAGCTGGCTTATAGTTTCCGAGTATGAACAAAACGATCTAGCGAGTGACTAAGAAGACAGAAAGAAAATTAAAAAGGCAGAAAATGTGGCACTAAATAACATAAAGGGAAAAGATGAAA